ATAGATAGATAGATAGATAGATAGATAGATAGATAGATAGATAGATACTTTATTGATCCCCAAGGGGAAATTCAAGAATGCTTAAGTTTCAAACAAGATTTGCTGAAGTAGCGTCTTGTTTTTACTCAAAAATGACTTAAGAATGGATCTTGAAGAATTAGATATTATGCAATCGAGGTGTCATGATGATATAAATATTTCAGCTCTTTTTCCTGTTTGTTTATTTACAGTGACCATTGCTAGAGCAATTGAACTGAAGCACAACGCCTCACTTGTTGCAGCTTTGGCATTTGAGACCGCAAACTTCTATCAAAAAGCTGGTACTTTTTCATTTGCTTGTAAAAGGAAAAACATATTTATCCTATTCTTTGTTCTTTAATTAAAATTATTAGTGAGATTCCATATCACGTTGGTGCTAAGGCCATTGAAATGTAGTATTTCTGTCTCTACAGACCACACACTGAACACTTTGGAGCCGGAGTGCAGTAGCAAGTGGAGGAAGTATCTTCAACTGAAACAGCACTTTTACATGGCCTATGTAAGTCCGAGCTAACATAGGACTGCTCTTTGTCTTGATTTGGAAGAATTCTACTTCATGCCACTTGTACTGTTTGCAGGCTTACTGCTATCATGGACAGACACTGCTGGCCAGTGACAAGTGTGGTGAGGCCATAAGATCCCTGCAGGAAGCAGAAAAATGTATGAATATGCATATATGCATAACTGCAACATATTTACTCACATACATCTGGGGGTGAATGGAATGGATTCGGGGAAGCATCGATTCCCCGAACTAACTGCACTCTAGACGACAGACAGACGAAAATATTTTAAATCTGAGACCAATTTTCCAGTTTTCTGCATATGGGTAGGTTTAACCAAACAATTTCCTCAACCTCAGGGTAAAGTAGTGACTCCCACCCAGTCAATTTTAACATTGATTTTCGTTTACTAAAAACAAACTACAAAAACAACCACTGCTTCCATTTGCCTTACTTCCCCCACTGGTCACTCCATAAGTTTGGATATTATCAGTGTGAATACAGATATAATTACTTACTAATAATTTAGATCAAATAGACATGAATGACTTATTTCAGTGCGTGATTATGAAGTTAAAATTAATACTTATCATCCAGCATGGATGATTTTAGGATCACACGTTTAGGGGTGATGAACACCCATTTTTTTCTGATATGAGTGATGATGATATCAGGCAGGATAAAATGTTTTAAAATGCTAATAACTTTTACAGACAATAATGCTTATTTGTTTTTGAGGATTTTAATTATTTATTTAGTCTGTGATAATTGGGGGTGCCACCGTCTGGTTTTGACACAATTTATTTTCTCAAAAATTAATTTCTATGGAAAAAAAAGCCTCATATATTTTTGTAGGGTTGCTTGGAGTAAATTTAGGGTTGAGCACCCATAAAAAAAGGCTTGCTAGGCCACTGCCACAAAGTACAATGTTGCCTACAATGCAAAGTAACCGCACCATGTCCTCACATAAATTAACACGTACCTCCAAGTACGTATTGACAAAAGCCTAGTTGACATACTTACTGAGACAGCATTTGTTCAGCTTTTCTGTATTTGGATTAAAGAAAGTTAACCGCATGCAGTATCATTTGATCTCTGTTTATGAATTTATTTTTTTAAAGGAATTGTAATTCTATATTTGAGTCTTTGCCTCGAGTACAAGCCAATGAAGCACATTTCTCAAAACATGGAGAAGTTCATGGAGCATTCATTGTGTACATCAGTATTCTTGGTTACCAGAACCTACACATTGCAAGCTGTGGTACTAGTGAAGCATAGGTTCAAGTGCCTCACAGACACATTAACCACAGTGAAAATCATGGCCAATGCATGGTGCAGGTGTTTCCTCTTTTTTTCACTCAGTGTGTCGCAGCTTTCAGTATTAAAAGCATTCTACCACAATTTCAACAGCCAAGCGTTTTGCTGGCTTCCCCTCAACTTCCCCTTTCTCAGTAGTTTGGTTTTGTATTAACAACAATGACATCACTGTTTAGGTTACTCTCGCGCTGAGGCGCTTTGTAAAGAGTATCGCCAGACCAAAGGCCCGGGTAGCACGGCCAGACCATCCGAGCAACTGTTCTTCCTCAAACTCGGGGGCCTCATTAAAAACACGCTGGAAAAGTGCCAGAGAGAGAATGGCTTTATGTGAGTAAGGCTAGGCACCCACATACACACAAATGCATTTGTGGTAAAATCAAGCACAGTCCATCAGTCTTTCATGGAAACATGTTGTCTTCTAAGTGGTAACAATTAATATAATTTAGGACAAATATTTACATATTTTTTGTGCATGAATCATTCATTTTTTCTATTAGCACATGATTTAAACCTCAGGTTTTGGTGAGCTCATGCAACTTAGTTTCTTCTATTAAATAGCTTTTTGTTTCTCTCCAGCTTGTTTTCATTAAACTTTCAAAGCACTTAGTGTCTCCTCTTTTAAAAAATTCACACTTATTATTACTCAGATATTTCCACAAGATACCAGCTGAGGCACCCCAGCTGGAGCTGAAGGCGAGCTACGGCCTGGCTGAGCCAATCCCCTTTGAGCTGCCGTCTCTCAGTGAACAGTTTACTGGTGAAGTCTATGCCACGTTTGATCTGACTAAGGGAGCCAAAAATGACAAGGTATGGCTTGATTACCATATACACAAAACTTAAACAAAAATTTGAATGTTTAGTCATTTAATTTATCAGGAACTGTATTAGTGCAGCACTGGCTGCTAATGCAAACTTTGCAACACCAAGAAAGAAACTTTCCCAGGGTGGCAATTCAATTAAATTCAATTTTATTTACATAGCTCCATATAAATATAAATTATAGGCATTTCAAGTCAATTAGAGTCCAATAAGTCAAGGCAATTTTATTTGTATAGCACATTTTGTGTACAAGAATTGCTTAACATAAAAAATATTTTAGATATTACACAGTATACAGTATAATAGTTTAATAGCAGAGACATCAAATAGAAGAATATTAGCTGTAGATTACTCTTATAGTTAGTTACTCTACCTCAGTGATAGACTGCACTAAATTGTAGTGTTTTGAGCCCCGACTTAAATAAGGGGTCAAGCTGCTGTCAGAGATCCTGGAAGTTTGTTGTACAAGTGGTCTGTGGCCTTCATATTGTACAAGTAAATTATTTAGGTTCAGGACCATTTAGTGCTTTATGTGTGAATTTAACACATATGTGCTACCTGTTAATGCTTTGTAAGATTTTCTTTGCAAAATGTTGTGGAAAAGCAAAAGAGCGTTCATGACCCGGGCTCTTTAGTTACAATAATTTCTGGAAGGGTTTTGATGCTGTTTTTAACACCCTACATTGAACCGTTTTTTTATACCTTGACTTATCTTTTGCTATTATTTGTGTTATTTTTACTTTTTGTTACTTTTCTCTCCTTTATAATGATTTTTATCGGGTTAAAAACATCTGTACATTTTGATGTTCAGAAGTTCATACATAACTTCGCCTTTGTTCTGACTGTTTTATCACCAGGCCAAATCCAAAGATGAGGAAGTGAAGCCTGTGAAGGAGCCAGATTTGAAGCCTCAGAAGGATACAGGCTGTGTTATTTCCTAAACCTTTCATTGTCATCGTCACTCTACTCTGTCATCAATTATAATGACAGCATCTATTTTCCTTTTTTCCATAGGAAACATTTTGATTGATTTTTTGGGTATCAGTCCATAATCATTTTTATGATAATGAAGAAACATATGCATTGTAGTTAGAGCCATTATCCTTTCACATAGACCTGAAGTTAGTCATTTGTTTTATTATTTGTATTAGATGCTGGATTCACCTCCCCATTGGCTATCTGAATGTAAACGCTTCTAAATAATTAGTGGTTGAAAATGAAAATAAAAAGACCAATGTGCAGAAAATGCAAGTTATGGAGAAGAAGAGTTTTTTTGGGAACACAAATATAGAGATTTTTTTTGTTATTTAAAAACATGTTATGAGAGACGGGCCTATGGCTCACAGTGTCATCAGTGGTGCCTTTGGCTTAATACGTTTGTGTGTGTGAAATTATCTGATTCTAGAAAGGTTTTTCCTTACAATAGATATCTCAACTGATCTCTTAAAGATGCTGAACAGGTCCTCAGAATATGGACAAAAATAAAATCATACAAAAAATAGCATACCAATGGTTAGGTTGTCTTCCAAAATAGAGTTTAGGTTATTTGAAGGTATCCTGATTTAGTGAAGCGCATTATGTTAAAAATTGAGGATTTATGAAAATGCAGATCAACAAAAGACAGAAACAGGCCAGCATGTGTTTTGTTTTGTTTTGTTTTTTTAGTTTACTTGGCTTGCTATAGCCCAAGCAGTTTACAAACATTATTTAGATCCCGCAATATATGTACTTTAAATGATTTTGCACATTACAAAATGTGCTTTACCATTTGAACTTTTCATCAGAGAAAACTTTATTACTGGCTATTGTAAAAGCATTGGTTCAGATGAAAATTTTGAGAATATTCATGTATTTCTGTATGTTTAGATATTGTATGAGACTATTTAACCCACTTAAGACGGTATAAAATGGTATGTAGCTAGTGATTTTGGTGGAGTGTATCTGAGTAGTCACTGAATACCATTATGCTAACTCCTGTAGGATCTTTTTAGTAACTCGTGTCAATAGTGAACGCATTGTATGCACTATACATGTATTGAGTATTTGTCCCTGACGGGGACCAGATTGGGACTTGGACACGATCAGATTATCTAAAATGTGTGTCTGTAGTAATTTAACCTCATCATGATTAAATCCTACACTCATTCAGGACTGTCACATCTTTTCCACTTTCTGTCCTGCTTAAATCAATATAGCAATCTATTGCTGGAACATTTTATAAAATATCATATTGCATATACGTACTAATAGGATGTGCAGGCATCTATGTAACTTCCTTGTCTTTATAGCACATTTTATAGCACATTATAACATCTTGCACTTTAACATTACATTTCAGTTGGTTTGAATAGGTTTTGTCTGACTGTCTTTTATTACACTTGGGGAAGTGAATTTAATTTTTGGAGTACTATCCTTTTTCAGGCAACTGTGAGGTGAGTCAAGTCATCATTGCTCTGTGCACATGAGTTCCTCCTGTATCCGCCTTTGGTGTCCATTTAAAATGTATATTAAATCCTAAGAAAAGAAAAAGTGTTGTCTATAATGTTTGTTTACCATAAATATGGTTTTAAATATCACATAGAAAAAAAACAGAATGGTCAAATTCAACTGTTCACAATGTAAAAATCTATTAAACTAACCCCATAATACTTGTGTGACACTAAAAATGTTATATGCAGTAATTTGAAACTAAGTATATATATATATATATGTGTGTGTGGGTGTGTGTGTGTAATTTCAATATTATTTGGTGAAAGGAGTTATGAAATATGATACCAAGATTAATGGCTGCAAATACAACTTTAATGGTGGTGATGCTAAACAGCCAGAATTGGCATATAACGTAGACATTCCACATGCTGCCAACACCACCAAGGTCCAGCCCCACAATAGCAAAATTGAAACTGAAAGCCACACAAGCCTCTTAACTCCTGGGTGATAAGGCTTGAATTGCTGTTTATTCTTCTCGGGTTTCGGTACTGATCCTGCATCCTGTAGCTGTTTTTTCGGCACAGCAGAGTCTGAGATGAAGGACTGGACATACGAAGAAGAAGACACAACGAAGATATAAAGACAGGCTAGTTTTATCTGCAGAATGAAAAACAGCCACGAGGAAGTAAGTGTTGTAATAATAAAGCCAGATAAACAGAGTTGTGCTAGCCTAGCTTGTGCTCAGTTAACAACTTTTAACAACTGAAAATGTGTATAAAAAAGTAAAAGGTGTATGAGAAAAAACACCATGAGAGACTCAGAATTAAAGATTCTGAATGATTGTCTCCTATTTTTCAGGTCTCAGCTCAAATCTCAGAAACTCCGTTTGGGGACTCTGGTTTGCCGACACAAAAGAAAATAATTCACTTCTCCAGTGGTGAAACTCTGGAGGTGGAGGACAGCAAGGAAGATTTGGAAGAAGAGCAACCATTGAACACAAACCCCCTTAAAGAACCTTCACAAAAAGTGAGCACTTGATTAAATGGTAACATTTAAGATAATTGCAATGTTGCAACCAGTCATGTGTTGTGGTTTTCTTATCACAGACTAAGCTTTCTTTCAAGAATGTGGCCATTTTAATTGGGAGGATTTCACTTCAGAGTAAGTATAAAAGACAGCTAAGTAATTACCAGACCTTTCTGTCTTTGTTGTAGTAGAATGTTTCAGAGTTTTTCTTTTCAAAACTAGCTTGTGATTTCCTTGGAGAAATACTGGCTGGTGCTTTCGGACTCCATTCAGCAAAATACCAGTATGCTAAGGATCAGTATAATCGTGAACACAAAGTAATCTCAAAATTATTAAACATATGGATAGATAATAAATGAGTGGGGATTCCTTAAATGTAACATCCTTTATACCTATTTGCTCTCACAGACAACAGGTGACAAGATTAAAGAGCAACCAGAGGAGATGCGCCTCTCTGCTCAACTGGGTGACAATCATTATGGAGCCACTAGAGTCGTAAGCTTCGTTTCTGATCCTCAAGAGCATTAAGACAAGAAATATATTGAGAAAGTCGGCTGTCTCAACTGCAGTTATCAAGTAGATAAATAAAACACAGAGAAATATAATGACAAGTCATTCCATCATGATTTTTTGTTATGAGGTTTTTCTGTATATGTATACAACAAAACTGTATGTGTGGGGATAAACAACAAACTTAAAATATAAACATATCTGTTGGTGCGCCTGTAAAAATTGTCAGTGATCCGGCATGGACAAATGCAGGACCTTTGTCAATAAAGTTAATTCCACAATTAAGTTCAATTCAGTGCAACAATACTTATTGATCTCTATAGTGGTTATATTTCTGAAATACCATTGTGGGAGTAGTTGCAGACTCATCATGATTTGTATTTGTTTCAGTTTTATTTTGTTTTATCCATAGCAGTTTACAATTATTTTTTTAAAAGTACTCTAAATAGTTTTGTACATTACATGTCAGAGATCTTCAATATTTTTCATTTTCATCAGAAAAAAATTAATTACTTCCCATTGTCAAAGCACATAAAAAAAGATCAGAATATTGCCAATTAGGTAACAGTATTGTATGAGACAATCTAACCGCCTTAAGACAGTAAAGTGGTATGTTACCTGTGTTTTTGGTGTAGTCAATTAATCTAATTATGCCAACTCCAATAGTTTTTTTTTTAATCTCATGACAGTACATGACAGTGACACATTGTATATACTATACATATATTGAATATTTGTCCTTGACTAGGGCCAGACTCGGATTTACCATATTATCTTAAAAAAAAACACTAGCACCAGCTTGTCTTTGTCCCAGGAAATTACACCTACTTTTGGAAATAAGAAAAAAAGAAGTCAATACTCCATCCGTCTAAGTAATTGGGACCCACTGCTTTATCATATCTTGATTAGAAGTCTTTTTTGGGGGAAAGCCAATAAACTCCTGAACTAGGCTACCAACTTTCCTTTACTTTGTCCACTAGAGAGTTCATTATTCTGGCATTACAGCGTTCTTTTTATTGAATGTCAAGCGCATGTCTTGTAGCCGCCTGAAAATCCAACAACTACAAGTAAACAATAATGCCTGGTGTGTTTCCATCATCAAACCTACTGAATTAGAATAAAAAAATGTAATATTTATCAACGAAGATGGGGTTCGAACCCACGTGTGCAGAGCACAATGGAATAGCAGTCTGCCTTAACCACTTGGCCAAAAATGGGGCAAAAGGGACTGCCTGGTTGGGGGAAAGAGAAAAAGAGAGAGGAAAGAAGGGGGGGAAAGAGAGAAAAAGAAAAGAAGAAAAAAGGAGGAAAACGTGGACTATATACATTTTCAGGCCAGGTGAGAAGGACAAGTGACTGTGGGAACTTGCCAGGGCTCAAGTTTGGGCAGTCTTGCAGGGGTCGAGTGGTGCGATCCCCCTCCTATTTGCAGGACTTTGTCATGTTTTGAAGTTTCGTGTTATAGGGCTAAACAGCTAAAACTTTTTGAAGAATTAAAGAACTGTTTCAGGGTTGTGTGAGGAGTTAATATATAAAAAAAGAGAGAGAGAAAAAGGGTTGTGTCTGCATCAGGCTGTTGCTTTAATTTGTGCAACAACAAGGTGTTACCTAAATGTTTGGTGTGGTTTACATCTTACCACTGTCTAGAAGGTTTTCATTCCAGGTAATCTGATGTTTACATTGATATGTGTGTTGTTTATATTAAGGTTCTCTTTTACTTCTGTCTTCTTCTACCAACCAGCTGCTTTTGCACTCCAACATGTTTTGTTAAAATTAACCTGTAAGCCACACACAGGGAACACACTACTAATGGCTCACACACAAATGGTGGCTGCAAGTTCGCTGAGCATTTGAAGCAATTGGACGCATTTCTCTTTTTTTCAGAACACCACTCACTGAATGAGTGGGAGCATGTCCACATTAAGGTTGGTCTCATGGAATGTGCATGGAGCTGGGTCCAGAGAGAAGAGATTAAAAATAGCTAATGAATTGAGGCTCGGATCGAGGAGGAGCAGTGTGGTTTTCGTCCTGGCCGTGGAACGCTGGACCAGCTCTATACCCTCAGTGGGGTCCTAGAGGGTGCATGGGAGTTCGCTCAACCAGTCCACATGTGTTTTGTGGACTTGGAGAAGGCGTTCGACCGTGTCCCTCGGGGTATCCTGTGGGGGGTGCTCCGGGAGTATGGGGTACCTGGCCATTTGTTACGGGCTGTTCGGTCGCTGTACGACCGGAGTCAGAGTCTGGTTTGCATTGCCGGTAGTAAGTCGGACTCGTTTCCGGTGGGAGTTGGACTCCGCCAAGGCTGCCCTATGTCTCCGGTCCTGTTCATAACTTTTATGGACAGGATTTCTAGGCGCAGCCGAGGTGTTGAGGGTGTCAGTCTTGGTGGCCTTAGGATCGCATCTCTGCTTTTTGCAGATGATGTGGTCCTGTTGGCTTCATCAAGCCGGGACCTACAGCTCTCACTGGAGCGGTTCGCAGCCGAGTGCGAAGCGGCTGGGATGAGGATCAGTGCCTCCAAGTCCGAGACCATGGTCTCTCACCGGAAAAAGGTAGAGTGCCTTCTCCGGGTCGGAGCGGACGTCCTTCCCCAAGTGGAGGAGTTCAAGTATCTCGGGGTCCTGTTCGTGAATGGGGGTAGGGAGCGTGAGATCGATAGGCGGATCGGTGCGGCGTCTGCAGTAATGCGGGCGCTGTACTGGTCTGTCGTGATGAAGAGAGAGCTGAGCCTAAAGGCGAAGCTCTCAATTTATCGGTCGATCTACGTTCCTACCCTCGTCTATGGCCACGAACTTTGGATAGTGACCGAAAGAACAAGATCGCGGATACAAGCGGCCGAAATGAGTTTCCTCCGCAGGGTGGCTGGGCTCTCCCTTAGAGATAGGGTGAGAAGCTCGGTCATCCGGGAGGGGCTCAGAGTAGAGCCGCTGCTCCTCCACGTGGAGAGGAGCCAGTTGAGGTGGCTCGGGCATATGTTCAGGATGCCTCCTGGTCGCCTCCCTGGGGAGGTGTTCCGGGCTCGTCCCACCGGGATAAGGCCCAGAGGAAGACCCAGGACCCGCTGGAGGGAATATGTGTCCCGGCTGGCCTGGGAACGCCTCGGGATCCCCCCGGAGGAGCTGGCTGAAGTGGCCGGGGAGAGGGAAGTCTGGGTCTCCCTGCTCCGGCTGCTGCCCCCGCGACCCGACCCCGGATAAGCGGAGGACAATGGATGGATGGAATGGATGGATGGAATTGAGGCTTTTACAGGCAGACATCGCCTTATTACAGGAGACTCATCTGTCTGCAGGTGATGCCCTGACCACAGCAGAGCATCCTCAAAAGTATGCAGCCAGTTACAACTCTAGGCAAAGAGGCGTAGCTATTCTGATAAACAGAAAAGTAATATTTACTGTAAACAGCATAGTTACAGACTTGGAAGGCAGATGTATAATAATCAACATGTCCATCGAGGACAGGAACCTATGTATTGCTAATATTTATGGCCCAAATGTTGATGACCCTTCATTCTTTCACTCTCTCTTCACTGCACTCTCTGACCACTCGGATAATGCACTTGTCATAGGAGGGGACTTCAACATGGCATTAGACTCGGGAGCAGACAGGCTCAACACCAACACCAGAAGTCAGCGGAAATGGCAGTTCACAGACGTAGTCAAGCAGTACATGAGGGATTTTGGTCTTTGTGATGCATGGCGCTCCCACCATCCCAATCTTAGAGAATCACTTTTTTTCACTAGTGCACAACTCATATTCTAAAATAGACTATTTCTTGATTAGTAGCTCTCTGGTGTGCGAATTATCAGACGCCAAAATCGACTCTATTACTATTAGTGATCACGTCACTGTCACGTTAAAGATTAAAAGGGTTGTTTGGTTATGTGAAACCTTCTGCGTGAACTGGAGATAACTGGAATGGAATTGAGGCACATTGTAAGAACAGGTGGTAAGGCTGGAGCTACAGCAATATGGCAATTGGACAAGATTGCCTTGTTCAGTGGCCTTGCTCGGTGGACACGCATGTCTTTACCCATGAATGTCTTCATTCGAGAATATCTACAAACAAGAAGTGCTGATGCTACGTTACTAATCCCCTTTTTTATGCTCTGCACACAATTGGACACGGCTGTTCATGTGTTGGTTTAACTGCGCTCAGTTGAGACGGTGAGTGTTGTCAGTGAATGGACCGCCCACCGAGAGTCTACCGACAAACTCTTTCAGAGAGGGGAGTGCCGCCTCTTCACAGCCCCTGATTACTCTGATTGTTTTGTGCTGGCCCAACCGAGACTACATGTTTCACCGAAGGATGGGTATCGGTCACTTTCACAACAGCAAATAAGAAAGAAGCTTGAAAAAACGTACACTAGCAGACGTACCATTACATTAGCAGACACACAATGCTTTATCAGTGCAGTATATGTGGTCAGACAGTGGGTAGACCAGGTAAAAAGAGTAACCAAAAGTTGTAAAATTTGTTCAAATTCTGCCAAGTCCATCAGAAGACATTTTCACACTAGCGGTTAGTTCTGTTCCATTTCGGTTAAGAGACAGGATGGCCCAGTTACAGCATTGGTATAAAGGGAAGCAATGAATCAATTTAGTTAGAGGGAGAATGTATAATCCTCTGTATCAAAGTCTGATTGTTCTTTACGAGTGTAGGGAAATGGTAGATGTAAATCCAGCTCATATTGAGTGCTGAATCTTACGTCAACGTTGCCGCCATTTTAGATGTGGCAAAGTGGAGAATCAGAGTCAGCAATCAGACAGTAAACCGGTGTAAATCTCAGGGTTTGTTCTAGGCCAACTTCTCAAAAGGCTGTTCTGTGATTTATGCCGAGGTAGTTTGGTGTCTGATGCTGTACCCGGATCATCAGAGCTACACTTGTTCACCCTAAATAACAAAGGATGTGATTCCACAAACTGAGGCTGCATCACAGTGCCAAAACTGCCAAACTGAACACCCTTAAGATGCCGAGTGGCAACATACAAAAAAAGCTGCGCAAGAGTATTCTTTTCCAAGGTTTTCAACTTGCACACCCATATATATATATAGGACGTGCAGTCAGGGGAAGCAGCTGAGGCAGAGCCTCCCCTGTCATCATCACAACAAAAAAAAAGATAACATAAAATTAATATTAATATTTGTCCACATATCTTTATGTATGACTAATTGGGAACATTTTGATTGTCAAAATCACTGAAATAGCGTATTTTCTGTTGAAACATAAGGGTGAAACGTGAGGTGCAGCAACGAGGTGCAGCAACGAGCCCAGCCGAACCTCTGATTGCGCAATCCATCACAAACTGGGTTGATACACGTTGCATGTCGCCATGTTTCTATAGCCTGATTTTCCACAGTCTGGCTAATGTCTTCATCCATTTATGTATGTATGTATGTATGTATGTATGTATGTATGTATGTATGTAT